GGCAGCCATGTAAATCCCAAGTATCGTTTTTGTCATTTTTAACTTTTTCAGGCGATAAAAAAATTATTATCTATTTTATACGTATATGAAATTTTGGAGAGATTAGTTGATTCGTTATTGAGAAATCGTAGCAGCCAGTTTGCAAAACAGGGTATCGAGAAAAATTAATTTAAAGTTTTGCTACACTCAGCGTTTATGGCGGTGTATCACTCTCTTGAAATTATTATGGCTTTGTCATTTCGTCGATTTCGGGCGTAGAATTTTAGCAACACATTTTCAAGATGTTACACTTTGAGAAAAGGCTATAAAAAAATTCGAAGTTTGACCCTTCCAAATGGGAATACTTCTTTAACTGATCGCCGTCTAGTTGTCAGTCCTCGAGTATTGACATAGCAATGCCGTTTAAACATTCCCTCTCGAAGAACCACTGAAATTACTTTGGCAAACTCATTCCTCATACCTGGATTATGCTTTAACTATAATTTTATTAACACACTAGTTATCTCTAATAAGCTACAAGTGAATTTGAATACTTTAGCAGCTGTCGAATAATATCTTTCCGCTCCACCCTTAAACTACTCCGACCAGGTTGCGACACATACATACACACGTTCATACATAAAACTACTAAATATAGCATAAGAGAGAAAATTTCATTTCCTACAATTTTCATCCTGTCTTCATGAAAGTAGTATGTACCACTTATTTTGTGAGGTTTTTGCAATGAAGCTGAGTTCAAACGCGACATAACTTGGACTGAACTTAACAATAATCCATTTCAAATCACCCTTAACAATAACAAGTATGCCGCATTTTCTCTATCCGGAATACTTGAATTGATTACTGGGAAACTGATCCGATTTATGTCGTGTTTGGACTCATTTTCATTGAGTGAATCTTACCAATAAATTGATAATATTTTCATGAAGGTAGGATGAAAATTAGAGATGCTGAAATTTTTTAAATTAGATAATTCATTACAACGCAAACGGCATTTCTCTCAAATGTCGCATCTCAACCGTCGTTGCTTGGCGCACTATATCTATCTCGAGAGGTGTACCTTCATAAGATATAAGACGAATAGCTCATATTGCCGTCAGAAGTAGAACAAAGATCGCGTTACAAAAACAGATACGCCCATACGGCTATACGTTGACCAGTTGAATTATACTGCCTATATACCGTTTGTTTTTTTAAGTGATATAAGTTCATTTATTCTTATATTGAGATATTTAAAGGTTTACACTTGAATTGATTAAAAAATATTGTCAAACATTAATAATTTCGTCTAATGTTTCTAAAATTGTATGTACGTAAATATTCAGATGTGCAATGCTAATATCTGTTTGAGCGAAATCATTTTGATATCGCTTCATATCTAAACGGCCTCAATACCTACCCCAGCCTGTCGTAATTGTCCTTCTCAGTATCGCATGATTTCTCTGACAACGTTTCTAAATATACAGGGTATAATATGGAAAAATGTTACATACAAAACTTGCACGATATGAAGGGAGACATAATGTGTAATTACTTTTCACGCGGGTGGAGGCGTAGAAGAAATTTCAAGGTCATTTCTATTTTTTTAAATGGAATGCTATTTTTTTGTTATCGCTGTGCGATAGCTGCTGTTGTCACGATTTCAGCATACCATCGTTAAAGGTTATATAAGGTCACTGAGGATCGTAAAACAATTATAATTACTTTCGAATTGTGGAGTTGCATTTGTGGACGTGCGCGCTTGAAAAGCTATTTTCGAGGAAATCGTTTTAGTTTATTTAATTTCTAGAAATCTGTCGATGCATGTCCGCGTAGAAACTTTCTTCGACGGCCTGAA